TGCGCTGATTCAGCTGATGGTCCCTCTGGTTTCACAATTGTACTCGAGTTTTCATTACTGTTAGACTCTATGTCAGGAGAGCTTGCGGAGTCTTCGTTGCTGTTTTTGCTAGCAGGCGAACTTTGCGCTGATTCAGCTGATGGTCCCTCTGGTTTCACAATTGTACTCGAGTTTTCATTACTGTTAGACTCTTTGTCAGGAGAGCTTCCGGAGTCTTCGTTGCTGTTTTTGCTAGCAGGCGAACTTTGCCCTGACTCAGCTGATGGTCCCTCTGGTCTCACAATTGTATTCGAATTTTCATTGCTGTTAGATTCTTTATCAGGAGAGCTTCCGGAGTCTTCGTTGCTATTTATACTAGCTGGAGCATTCGGTGCTGACCCTTCTGATGAGCTATTTGGTGATGGGTTCAATGAACTTTCATCGCTGTTAGAGTTACCTGAGTTGCTGTTGGAACTGGCTGTAGAGTTTGGCGAAGGACCAGTGGTTCCATTGGTAGTTGACTCTAGTAGAAGAGGGCTAGCCGTAGCAGTTGCGGGCGCGTCTGTTGTAGAAGGCTCTGCGGTGGATGTTTCTGTCGCAGGCGTTGATGATTCTTCTACAGCAGTTTCTGCAGTGGAATCTGTGCTGGTGTCGTCTGGTTCAAGTGTTGATGTTTCTGCTGCAGAAGGCTCGGTAGTAGACTCTTCAGATTCAGTAGGAGCTGTTGCGGTCGTTTCCACTGAATTTGTCGTCGTTTCCACCGAGTTTGCGGTCGTTTCTACCGCATTTGTGGTCGTTTCCGCAGCATTTGTGGTTTCAACAATGGTCGTCTCTAGTGTAGTTGTTTCAGGAGGAGCTGCGGTGGTTTGTGGAGCTCTTGTTGGGCCCTCGGTAGTAGGTGTAGGGCGAATACCTTTCGGTGGTACATCAGTAGCTTGGCCGGGAAAAACGGACAAACATTTTTCCAATTCAATGGATCCAGCAAACAAATTCCAGCTAAGTCCATGTAAGCGGTAGCGTATAAGTATTTTGTTAATCCATGTATATTCCGTAGATGAAGCGGCAATATCACTGAATACATTAGAAATCTAAAATTTGAGAGCAAAAATTATTAACTTCCTTAATACTTTTGAAGGAAAAGTTTATCTTGCAACATACCACATCGACGTGACAATCAAGTCGTTCATCCGACTGCTGAAGTCTACCGCACTCTTCTATAATCTCCACGAATTGCAGCTGCAATTGTGCGGCATCGTTTTTGCGCAAATAACGTTCTATAGTCGAGTCTTTTAGTCTGGCTGCATCGCGGATTTTGCTTCCAGCATTGGATACTGACTTCTTATAACGTAAATTATGCACATTTACACACTGTTGAGCGCCAAAGGCGTGATGACTGTTTTCATTAACATCCACAACTCCTTTTGGATTGAAGATGGCGGTGAATAAGTCCGCTGCCGCAGAAATAAGCGCACGATCTGCTTCGTCGTTTAGGAAACCAAGCCCTTCATTAGATGGACGTGCTGATACCTATGTACGTGGATATAAAAGTTTTTGTTTTTTAAACACTGTGGCCAATTTGTTTTTATTAAATTAAACAGTTTTTTTCGTGTAACACTCACAGTGAGCAGCGCTAAGCATGCTGCGTACAATGTTAATACTACTTTCATGTTCGTTGAATTTTTCGTTTCTAAGCGTTAAGATGAAGATATTTGATCTTATATCAAGATGGTGGCTGGTCTTTTATATGCGAGTCTACTAATCCATATGATTTATTCAAATTTGCAAAGTAAGTGTTTGTTTTATTTGAAAGATAATTGTAAGATTAAATCATACGTTTTCCGCAGTTTTTTTTTTAACCCTTAGTTTAAGCAGCTTGAGAGTTATTCAATACGCAAATATAAGATGGTTGACAAAACTCACTATTAGGGCGACACGACAAATCTAGCTCACCCTCTGAAACCATAACCGGCCACTGGCTACTGAGATGGAATGCCAATAGAATGGGCCTGCCGGCCAATGACTTCTGTCGCAATTGATCGGATGAAAATATAACTATCCTGCCATTTCACGGATTAGGGATTACAATTACTCGTTAAGGCTTAGTAGGCGGCAATGAATTTTTGTGTTTTATTAACCGATTAGCCAAATGAGGTCGCAATTATGCAGAGCCCAATGCGTTAATCGCTGGATGATGATTCCATTAGAAAGAATTGAAATAAGTTCGTATTAAAATTAAACAAATGGCAGAGTGGAAACAGTGGCCAAAATGGTGAGCTGGTACTTTTGCAATAGGAAGACAAATCATTTTCCCTAATAAAATCCATATTCCTCAATTAAATGCATATGGAGCAGTCAACATAAATAGTATTAACTTCGAACTATAAAAGCCACTGTAAACGAAGACACTTCTTTATTTTCTCTCAAAGCATCTGGCAAAGGATTAAATCGTTTACAGAAAATGGACGCCACATGTATAACGCTTTTCCCGGATTTTGGTACTCTATTTTCAAAATTCCTGAAATGTTGAATGAATCAGATGATGTCAGTGATGGCGCGAATAGTGGCTACCAAAATCTGCCTAATGGCTCACACACCAGTGCCCTTACTGTGTACTTCGAATCTATAATAAATTTGTTTGAATTCAAACTATTGATACTATAAAAGAATAAGAGAGGGTCTAGAAAATTAAAACGGTGCGGAAATGTTTGCATCGAAGGAAGCAAGACCGTCGTCTTAAGTGTAATGGCCAAGAATTTTTTCCTCCCTCTCTCTAAATCACAAAACTAAACTTAATAAGCGCAATTTTCTTTGTGAAGTGCTTTCATTGACATCTTTAAAGGCCGTAAACTTGTACACGCCTCTCAGATGTACGTTATCTTTTCAGTACAAAAAACAAAGTTATCAGCAGGGTTATATAGCAGAGTTTAACAAAATCTAGACGAGTTTGCTAATTTTAAATACGTTAAAAAAATTTTTCTAGCAGAAAAATATTGTTAAAATACGGTAATTTTCAAAACTTAAAAAGAAAAATATTTTTGACGAAGTTTTCTGAAGAAAAAAATTGCGTGTTAACTGAGTATAAATGAGTGAAAAAAATTGCAGGAAATTAACAAGTAAAAAACAGCTGCTTTCAATATCAGCCGCTTTCACCAGCAATTTAAAAGGAAAATTATTTTTTATTTTCCGTCAGTTTCCATATAAAATTCATAAAATTCAAATAATTTTTCACTTAAATTGCTTTCGTGAAATTGGCTGTATGAAAAACATCTTAATTGATTTTGAATTAAATTTTTAATCGTTTTTACAATAGGCAAGCTGTCAGGATATCTCTTCAAATTATTTATTTAATCAAAAAATTATGTTTCGCCCATGCAAAAACTCTGCGCACAGTTTCACATTGAAAATAAATACAGACTTGTTATTAATGAACTGAGTTTTTTCTTTCAATTTTCCAGAATTTTTTTTTCACTTAATTTCACTCAACTCATGTACATGAAAAATAATCTAAATATCAGACGAATTTTATTTTCATTGATACGCGTTTTTATTCGAAAAAACTACGCCCAAGTTAATTTTGAAAATGTGTAAATTTTTTATTTTTCAAAATCGTATTAGAAATCGGATTTGAAATCAGCATGAAGAAATCTATACGATGAGGTCGGTCTCTCGATTTCAAGACCGTCAAAAATTTGTTAAACCGTGTAGTTAGCAGAATAACCCGCGGGTTAAGATTTCTATCCGCGAAAAAAAAAAACGATCGAAAGCATAGGCAAAATAATAACTTAGATAATTTTATCTTAAATCAAATATTACTCATACCTGTTTATCTTGTACGCATCATATGAATTTCAAGTCAGTTACTATGTATTTACTTATCAGGTGCTAGACAGTATTCAAACTTATGACAGTTATACTTACATACAAGCATGCATACAGATGTATGCTTGTGCAGGCAAAATATCTTTTAATTTTGTTTTCAATGTTCTTTTATTGCAAAGATACTTTTCCCCACGAACTTGCTTTTCTTCATTCACAAATGGGGAATTCAGTGGTAATCATTGAACCTGAATTTTATTAACCTTCCGCTTCTCTGGTGAGAGGCCCGACTTACATGTCTTAAAAAGTGCAAAACTTGTATAACAAGAGGTGCCAGCAAAATCGAAAAAATAGTGGCAAAACTTCGATGAAGTGCAGGCCACCGCCAACTAAGTTTTAGTGTAGCGCGATTTCATGGGTACAATACGTATATGAGAGAGCGCCGCGCTTCACAGATACTACCAGGATCCCCGGATTGCAAAATTGTAACTAACCCTTCTGCAGAGTTTCTTAATGTTGGGGTAATTTTAACCTAATAATAGATATTTGTAAGTTTTAAGAAAAAAAACCGATATTTAAATTTGAATTCAGTTAATATTTTATTCATCGCATGTAGACAATTTATTGGCAAGTGCTGTATGCTTACTATGCCGCCTTCTAGAAAATAAAATAAAATAAAAAAAAATCGTTTATTTTTTGCAAAACCATAGCTGATTATGCTTTTAACGAATAGACAACGCCGCAACTTATATAAAATTACCAAGCTCTGTAATTAAAGAATGTTTTCATAGAAATTGGGTCGTTTTGACGCAGTGATTGCAGAAGAGCTAATAGATAATATTAATTTAAAATGACTTACATATCGTTATCTTAAATCACAAAGGCCCTAGCCAAGAGATTTTTTATTTTAGAAGAGAAGCAAAAACCATTAAGAAAAGATTGTCAAAACAGTTTGGGTTTGTTAAAAAAGTGACATGTAACTCCTTTGTTTTTGGTATTAACACTTGAAAATATTTATTGCACGTGTATTTTAATATATCCTACCGAAACCTGTGAAAAACGCAATTTCGAAAAAGTGTTGGTTAGGGACTTTGTGAATTAAGGTAACAATATATATTATTAATTACTTTATTTTAGCCGATAAAATTTTAAATAATAATATTTGTCATTGTTTTGCCAGCAATTTAAATGGAAAATGATTTCCTATTTTCTGTCAACTTCCATATAAAATTAATAAACTTAAAATATTTTTGTATTTAAATTGCTTTCGTGAAATTGGCTGTAAGATGAACCCAAAATAATCACAATAAATTTTGATTTTGTCAATATTTTTAACGAAAAGAAGTTTAGGTTCTGCTGAAGCCAAATAAGTTTTATCGTTATCTGAATATAGAAACACCCTGTCCAACATTTTTGTTACTTTGGTTGCAATTTTTTTCCTTATACTGATTTTTAACTGATGTAATATTTGATCTACCGACTTTACCACAGAGGGTTAGAGCCTTTACATATCTCGGTAACGATATACATCCACATATATATATGCTTGAAGTAAAGCAACTTGGCTATAATTTAAATTACACGTTTATAGGTTTTCTTTATAAATTTACTTTATTAAATTATGGGGTCTTCTGGACCCACCAAGTTTCCGACCTTATTCTCTTTACTAAGCTTACGTAAGGTTAATTAAGTTATTGCATGTGATGTTATGTTTATAATTTCTAGCACCAGCATCGGGGCAACCTAATTAGAAAAATTCCTTTATAAAATGAAAGTGAGATTTTGCACTTTCCGCTATCATTCGGCCATGGCACTAATCTATTTTATAACTGGGGAAGCCATAAAACACAAGAATTCATAAACACAGAAGTAATTCTGTTTCTGAGAATTTAAAACAGGAGAATATCTTGTTTTGATTTAACAAAAACCTGCAATCTGTTTGTGCGCCCGAATTTCGGTATGTCTATGATTTTAAGAAACTACTGCTTGGAGATGAGATACTAACAAGAATTTTTTTTTTGTGAAGAAGAGTGCCTAATTATCATGTCAATAACTTAATTTTGAAAGTTAATGAGAATACATTTTATTTTACTATGCCCACTATGCCATAAAGTTTTGTTTTTAAGTGTTTTTGCCTGCTGTGTCTAGCAAGCAGTGTGGCCGGGAAGACCCGGGAAGGCTACTTGGCCAATAGGCTCGCTACGTCATTTAACAGGTTCTCGATCGTTCAGATCATCGTAAATGTTTAAGAACTCGTGACACACTTATGTAGGGGCACATATTTCTAACATTTGTTTGTTGATTTCAATATATAGGAATTCTACAAATTCGCTACCCTGTATTGTGCTTGGCGTTTATACTTGTATGTGTTCCCCGTTCTTCATAATATCTGCGCGATTTTGGAAGTGTGGCAATTACCATGCCCAAATCTATTTAGATACTCTGTTGTGCATTAGTTTGAGTCTCCATCAGGGACCGTAACAGTTACAACTTTTTAAAAAAAAATCACTCGTTAACAATTATTTTTTGACTTTTATTTAATTACTCTTTAAATAACCGTTATTTCTGAATTTTATTTTATAAATCCAAATTAACAGTTATTTTCGATTTTTAAATTATATGTCTCAGATAACAGTTATCGAAGAAAGTCACAAATAAAAGTCAGTTGCTGACCTTTATTTTTTAAATTATTACTTATAATAATATATTTGTATAAGTCGTAGTAAACTTTTGTTTCCCAACACCTTCTTAACTGAAAAAAATATTAACTACTATTATACGAATGATTTAAAAAATAAAAGTCGGTGATTGATTTATATTGATGACTGTTATAAATAAAAGTATTCAATAACTGTTATCTAAGACATATAATATAAAAATCAAAAATAATTTAAATTTTGGATTTATAATACAAACATCAAAAATAATTGTTATTATTTTTTAATTTTGCGTAAAAATTGCAAATAAAAATGTATTTTCAAATTTGAGTCTCGGTGAAAAACGAAATCGATTGGTATGTATCACTTAGTGGTAGAACATTTCCTTCATATATAATTTTCCCACGACAGTTTTCATCAATAACTGTTATGTTCCATTCTTGGAGAAAACATTACAACTGGTTGAATTAAATTCGCTAATAATTTCTCTTATAGAGCTTTACATATCGTGTGTTCAAAAAGTATCCGGTCGACCTCTATCTCAGAAAATACTCACCGTAGAACAAAGGACGCGGGCAAGGGCTTTTACGATCTCATGCATTTTTTCAAATGGAAACCATACATTTTTATTGCCGTCTCAAAAAGTTCGTTAAGTTAAATACCACCTTGCTCAAAAAGCAATCGTCAAAAGTTTAATAAATTTGACAGTTGACGGGCGGAGCCGGCGCAAGTATTAAATATATGTTTTTTCACCTTTCCGAAACCTTCCGCTAGCTGGTAAGCCGGGATGTATCAATTTTGAGTAAATAGGCCCTTCAATTTCGAAATATTGAAGTTTCAAGCATTTCTGAAATTTACCGTTATATGAGAAGCGGCCGTTATTTTAGTCCGATTTCAATAATTTTCAACGTTTTGCTTATATGTGGCAAGCACAATAACCACACCGAGTTTGGTACAAATTGGTAGAACGGTTACCGATATACTTATATGTGATCATAAGTGGGCGGTGCCACGCCCATTTTCCAAAATTTTACCATAAACGTATTTCTTGGTAAAGAATTGTTGCAAGCATCAATTTTGAATAAATTAGCTTCAATATTTACTGATTATCGAAGATTTTGTATTTCTCTAAATTACCGTTATATGGAAGGGGCGTGGTTATTGTCCGATTTTAAAGGGTTTGGGCGATTTTTTATGCTGTACCAAGGCCAACAACTGTGCCAAATTTGGAAGAAATTGGTGCAGCGGTTACCAAGATATACACATGTAACCATAAGTAGGCGTGGCTACGCCCATTTTCCAAAAATTTATAATATTCTTATTTATCGTCTAAAACTTATTATAAATATCAATTTTGAGTGAATAATCTCCAGTAGTTACTAAAATATCACAGTTTTCGTATTTCTGGAAATTACGGTTATATGGGAAGTGGGCGTGGTTACATTCCGATTTCGCCCATTTTCAATACCAACCTACCTTGGATCACCGGAAACCTACAAACCAAATTTCGTTGAGATATCTAAATTTTTGCTCGAGTTATCGTGTACACGGACGGACGGACAGACGGACGGACAGACAGACATGGCTTAATCGACTTCTCTATTCATTCTGAGCATTTATGTATACATTTGTCTATATCCATTTCGATTCGTTTTGACTGTTACAAACAACCGTTATGTGAACAAATTTAATATACCCTTGTGCACAAGTGCGCTCGGGTATAAAAAGCTAACTTGGTACGGTGTCTTGATTTTCATTCTAATATTCGCATTTTAATTTTATTTCACACAAAGCCGGCAATAATTACTATTATTATAATGTCATATATATGCATGCACTTTTTATTATGTTTCAAATTTGTATTTTTGTTAAATTGTTATTTATCTTTAAAAAAATTTCTCACACCTCCAGTTCTCAGTTTGCAATATAGTTACAAATACACATAAATCGTAATCATTTGCTGGCCTTCTTAGTAGAGCACCATGTGCGACTCACTTTGATTTGCAATTTGACCCAGGCATGTCTGGTAGTCATTAGCCGTCGTAGTGAGATTAGTCTTGCCGTTACCAATGATTGCGCTGACGCAGGCATGGCGCCTAACAGCTGCTAACGACTCTTCGGCTGCTATTTGCGCTTCCACTTGGCTTGCCTGAGTGTTGGCCTTATCCAGAAGATGAATGTTGTTATCGAACTGCAAAAACGAAAATAAGAACACAAATTTACGCTAATGTAAAATAAATTAATCTTATGCAACTTACAGATGCCGTGGTGCAATTGAGGAATTGCAACACATCAGTTATAGCCGTGCAGTTTGCCAATTGCTGCTGCACTTCTTCTAAACGCTCGCGTATGGGAGCAACATTTTGATTGACGACAGTTGTGTTGTTATCGTCCAGAGTGTGATTCGCATTCTCGAAACAGGCGTTCGTTTGACTGGTCATCCAATTGTTGATTTGTCGTGTGCTATTCTTATATTTCGTAGCGCATGTGGACTCGGCGGGAGTTAGCGTGCGTGTATCGATCAAAGCTGCACGCATTTGGGCTAACAACAGCTCAGATTCGATGTAGTTAGGTAAAGCATAGGCCTGAAAAGAGGAAAGAGATGCATGCAATTTGTTTGCAAACTTATTTATAGCAAAGTTAGCCTATAAATGTAAAGGATACTTAGTTGTAAAAAGTTCATTGAATGGCAGTT